TAAAAACTTAAATCACCTTTGCTTTGTTCATGTAATAGTATGATATTACAGTCTTCAACACTATTTTTTAATAATAATAATTTCACATTTTATATCCTTTATATAAACAAAAGAATGCTTAAAATTTTAAACTAATTTAATCATCTCCATTGCAAAAAATAGGCTTGAAATTTTCATAATTCAAGTTCCTGATCTCTTTTAGATTCCCTTCAAGATATTAATAGTTTCTCTCCCATTAACTTCAATTCGTACTTTCCCCACTATCCAGTTTCTAAATTATTTTTCTCTTTAATTCTAGTAGTTTTGTGGTATTTTCTTCTTCTTTCTAACTTTAAACTCTCCTTTTTAACAAGAGAATATTTTCACTGATCAAGATTTGAGAGAATTAGTATTTCTTTATCCTCAATGATGCACTTACTTCATAATTTCCAGCGGATATGAATTAAGATTTTGAGGTTGGAACTTTATCAATAGGGAAAATTTATGATTTTGATTGAATTGATCTTCCATACTTGATTCCTTCAAGAATTATTTAATGTTGTTATTTTAATTAACAGTGACAGCATTATTAATTACCTAGACATAATATTCTTAGGTATTAAAAATACATTAAATTGAAAATAAATTTAAATATATTTTGTGATAAAATGTAATTTAGTACAACTGTAAAATTGTTGAATCCACAATGACATAGAATAACAAGAAGACGGACATCAAATTTCAAGGAAAGACAGCAAAAATATACCACCCTATAAATCTGTTTTTATTGATTGTTGAAAAAGAATGGACAATGAGAGAAATCAGGTAATACATATATTAAGATAAACTTGATTATAACAAATAAAAATTAAAGATATCCAAACTAAATATCAAATCATAAACAATTATATAATGTGTTTGATTTTAATAAATTTCACTTTTATTAGGATTGTAAATAGGTTTCCAAAATACAGCTTCCTTTAGATTTAAATAATGAGCGCAAATCATATCCTTAATAATCTATAAATTCACCTTTGAAGACCAAGGTTCTTTATGCTTCTAAAATTGGATCTTATGAAATGGTTAGAATCGTAATATTTTAGGGTTCTAAAGAATATAGTGTGAAACATTACCAATTACTGAATTAACATTTTTTTTTAATTTTTAAGGTTAAAATTGTGCTAGAATATCTTTATAACGATTATCAGATGGTAAAATTTGTTGTCTGGTCTTAACATCCCATAAACGGATTGAGTGATCCCAACTACCAGATGCTAATGTAGTACCATCAGGAGAGTAACAAATTGAAGAAACATTGAATGACCATCTAATTTGGCTTTTTATTATCCTGTCTTAACATCCCATAAACGGATAGACTTATCACTACTACCAGATGCTAATGTAGTACCATCAGGAGAGTAACAAATCGATTTAACACATTTTGAATGACCATCTAATTTGGCTTTTTATTATCCTGTCTTA